CTGTCGCGGCAGTGAAGGACGGATTGGGCCCGCGGCCGGCAGCCCATACTGCCAAACGTTGCTTTCTGAACTGCCTAGAAACTAGCTTCAAACCTTGCTGTTTCCTGGCGTCAGCTCGAGTCCAAGGACCCTGTCGCAGGCCTCAAAACACCATGGCAGTGAAGGACGGACCGGGCCTGCGGGCCACAGCCGTGAGTGCCTAACGTTGCTTTCTGAACCTACAAGAAAACCTAGCTGTCTGACCCAAAACGGCGCCTGCGCCACAGCCAAACAGCAGGGCCCTGAGGGACGGACCAGGCCTGCCGGAATTGCTTCTTGCTTCTTGCTTCTTCTTTCTTGTTTTCTTGCTTCTTGCCCTTGCTGCTTGTAATGACTTGTTGGCCCTTGCTGCTGGTAATTCCTCCTCTGACGCGCTCCCCCTGCTGCAAGCGGGGTCGGCGGATATGTTCCATGATATTCTCATTATATCCCCAGTATATATCCATCATTCTTCCCCCATAAACTAGTTCGAGAGGTCTATCTACCGCAAGGCGTTTCCAATTTCCGTTCTGTGGGCACTGGTAGAAGGTGGTGCCCCAGTGGTGTGAATGTTGGTTTATCTTCACCCCGTTTATAGCATATACATGTATATATATATATATATAGATATATCTACCATAGAGTCCATAGAGTCAGTGATGGGCAAATGGAGGTTTCCGTTTTCTAAAATGGGTTATCCCATTTTAAGCCCATTAAAAAATCCCTTAAAAAGTCCCCATCAAAGTCGTTTCGGATCCATGATTTTGATGGGACCCTCCAGCACCGGTCGAACACCGTTCAGGTCAGGAGTGCCTGAGGTCATCCCCGAGGAGAGTCAGCGCTAGATGTTTCTCAATGTCAGCGCTGCAAAAAAGGGGGTGTGTTTGTTAAACGATGTCATAAACCGTGGAAAATCCCCCGAATTCGCCATGTTTTTTCATAGAGGTTTCTGGGAAAATCGTCACTTCACCGGAGGGTAAGGCATGGATGATGTTACTTGTGCTAAGGAACGGGGGAACGGGGGAATGGGATGAGTGTGAACATACTTATTATTAATCATTCCCTCATTCCCTATGTTTAGCACCAGAAAGTGAAATGATGAAACATTCTGAAACATCTGTGAACTTAGGTGAGATCTATAAATGTCCGTAAGTTCTCAAGGGTAGAGTGCCACATATGAATTTGCGTGGACAAGCAGATCAGAGAGCCTGCGATGTGACAGCTGTTGGCTCCATTACAGTCCTGGAAGAGTCTCAAATCAACAGCTGAAGTCTTCGAATCTTGGAGCCTGGCTCAAAGTTTTTGGATGGATCAAGTTACCAATGACAGACCATGGAGGGATGAATATCCCATGATTTTTATCAGGGCTTTTGAATGTTTTTGACACATCCCAAACATCAAAAAAACCTCAAATTGCATGGCATTGATCATTGATCTAGAAAATGCCAAGCGTGATTCGCGCGGTTGGTGAACATCTTTTTTCGAAAAGCTCGGCGATGGCGGGCACAAACCCAGTGGCTGGCAAGGTTTGCGTGGTTACTGGAGGTGCGGGGTCAGATTTTCTATGGGAATGGAGCCACAGGGTCGAATTGGCAGAAACACTGTGGCTTTTGGCAAAGTTTCATGTCTTGAAACACTGAATGACCATCCCAAAATGATGCTGAACGAAACTGACATGAACAGTATTGGTTTCATGTTCATTGAAAATAGCCAATTGAATGGGGAGTCAACCTCGTTGCTGTGTAGCTTGATGACCAGGGCTGAATTTCGAAGATAAAACTTGGGTCTCCGATTTGCCAAACCAATTAATACAGTTACCGGTTAGATACAATCTACAAGTATGGATGATAGATATAGATACAGATCTGATAGATAGACCGATGAGATTAAATTAGATTAGTTTAGATTAAGGTTAAGATTACATCAGATCATTAAAAATATGATATATGATATATGATATATGATATATATGATATTTCTTATATGATATGATGTAATATACAATATTTGTAGGTATAGACATCTCAGTGGACATATCATACATTCCCCGTTCAAATCGCTCACATAGCCATCAGAGGCGCCAGTGGCATAGGACCGATCTTCCAGTGCCGCTTCCGGCGCGGTTACGAAAAGCTCTGGTCGAACTGCAAAAAAATGGGATGGTTTACCAGCAACAAAATGGGAAAATTTTGGAGGACATCTTTGGGAAATTACATCTTTTTTACATTCAATTACCTCAATTACATCTTTTTTACACTATAACATTTGTGGGAAAATGATCATGTAACAAGGGATATCTTGGTTGTGATGAAAATGGGATGGCGCCATCAATCTGATTTTAATGATAATCGTGTCGGGAAATGGGGGTTTGATTCCATGAAAATGGTCGAATTTTTCCTAAGCTTTCAAACGAAAAAAGGGGACGTTTGGGTTGCAAAGATAGAGCAATTCTTGAGAGTTTTCTATTCAAAAGGCATAGCAGCGGCATAGCATTTTTTGAATCATCTCCATGGCACTTTCAGGTCACAGCACACCAAGTCTGATGGAAGGGGTCATTTTTTCCGAAGAACATTGAAGAAACCACGTAAACTTGGATGTAACTTGATGTAACCCATGAATCTGATGAGACTCTATCAATCTAAGTGGCTTATTTCATATGATTTTACCACGTTACTCAACTTAAATACCACCATTCTTGATACTGTCCCAATTTCTGGAAGGTAGCTCTTCATCTTTGGTGACACCCATGACCCCAGGCTTTCCGTGAACTCTCCGTACGAATCGCCAGGAGCGGGCTTATGTCAGCACTTCGCTGCGCTGGGTGCCAAGGTGGTGGTGGCGGATCTCAACGAGGCCATCATTAGACCACCACCTTGTGGTCTTTGCGGAGGTAAACATTTTACCCTCTGGTAAACTAACATAGCTATTGAAAATTGCCATTTACAGTGGATTTTCCCATTAAAAATTGTGAATTTCCATAGTTATGTTAATTTACCAGAGGGTAAAAGAAATCCACAGACCATATCTTTGGGGCACTTTTTTTGGAATCTTTTAAAAGAAATCCAAAGAGTCCAAAGATATGGAGATGTTTTTGAAAAATCCGATATTTTTTTCTCTACTTCAGGATTCTGCACAGATACATCAACAGACTGTCCAGCAATCAAGCGTGGCAACTGAACAACCCCCACTTAGTTCGATGATCTTCCCAGCCATAAACCTCCATTGATAGGGGAGTTTCCATAGCCACGTTTGATTGCTCGAGTGTATATGGACATGTTATGTGTATTATATATATACACACACGCGCTTATACACATTTGATATGTATAGATATGTATGTGATGTAAATATCCATATATGTTATACATATATATATATATATATATGAAGTATGTATATCATATGTAGTCCTATCATATAATGTATATATCACTGGACAAAGCCAATGGACGAAGCCAATGAGATCTGGTTCTTTTTTCCGTGGCGCGGTGCGACCTGTTTTTTTTTTTTTTACGATTTTCGTTCAATGGTCCAAGACATTACACCAACAAAATGATGGATAGGATGTATATGATTATTGTAGATGGATAGATGTTACCCTCTGGCAATTTAACGTAGCTATCGAAAATGACCATTAATAGTGGATTTTCCCATTAAAAATTGTGATTTTCAATAGCTATGTTAAATTACCAGAGGGTAAAATAGATGGTTATACCAATGGCTGAACTAAGGTCGATTCAACATTGCGGCCAGGGTCACACCCAAAACACCCAAAAAATGATGGCTGAATGGGCACCAAATTCCTGGTTCAGCCCAGAGAGTTACAGCATTGATCCAGGGTTGTCATTACCCAAACGACGATCAACCTGAAGTTTGAACCATCCCTGTGTCATGTTTTGGCCAGACACTCCGTGCTTTGTGTTTGGTGATCTTGCTATTGTTGTGACATGTTCATATCATTCTTGGTTACATTGCTTCTTCTCATACAATGCATCCCTGTCGGTTTAAGTCCTGTTTTGGTTGCCAAAAGAGACCCTCCTCTTTGTTGGGCAAGCTCTAGTTTTTGCTGCTTCCAACTCCTGGCGTCCTGGCGAAAACAAAACACATTTTGTTTTTTGAATATACCATTTCTTGTTGTTTGACCATTTGGTGATCAAACATGGCTGGAATATCCGCCATTTCAGATAGATTTCTTAAGCTCTGTTTGTTTTTCTTGCGATTTTGTAAGTTTTTCTCCCAAGGAAGCGTCCCACAGGAAGCGGCGGCAAAGGTCGCGCAAGAGATCAATGGTGTGGCTGTGCGCTGCAATGTGATGCAGGACGCTGGATGGGGAAAATGACAGTTGAAACCAGTGGATTTGGGAAGATCATGCCGATTGGTTCCCCTGATTTGCCGCAAAAATGGCCATGAAATCATGGTGTATATATTGGCAAAATAAAACACATACCAGGATGTCTGACCCGATGTCCGATATCATCTGATATCCCAAACCAGGATGAAAAATGGGACATTGACCATGAAATAATGGTGTTTTTTTAGCAACAAAGGGTAGGAGCTGGTAAATTGTCCATTCATCGGGATGTGATGACTCATGAATGCTCAAAATGTATTTCCATCTGGAGAATGATGTAAGTTTCAGCTGATTTGATCCCATTCCCCCTGATGTTCCCCTTGAATCAATAGAAACTAGCTGTTGTGCTAAATGTATGAAGAGGATCAAGGCAAATGTTCATGGTCCTATGCAGAAAGTCATATTTTTGGCCTTTTTTGTGCTGTGTTCTAGTCCTGAGTATGAGTCAGTTCACCTTGGTAGCCTGCTATTTATCACCACAATAGCAGGTGTGTATATAGCTGGATGTTCATCACCGCATCATTTTTTACATGTCCTGGTTTGTGGTTTGATCGATCAATTTTCCCAAGCTCCCTTTTTTCTTGCGTAAAACACCATCATTCCAACGCTGTTACAACTAGTTACGACCAAGATGTTCCGCTGGAATGCCGACCAACATGTTCTCGGCTTCTCGGCACCATTGGACCATGGCCCGGAGGAGATGGATGTTCGGCGGCTCATTGCGGTGGCAGAGGCGCGGCTGGAACATCTCCCAGGAGTTCGTTGATTTTCCCATAGCTCCATTTAGTTTAACACAGCGAATGTAGGCTTTTCTACATAAATTGACGCGAAAAACAAAGACAGGGCAAACAGAAAAAAACAAACCAGAAAACCAAAAACAAGAAGAACCAAGAAAACACAAACACACCAAAAAGAACAAAATCTGGGAACAACCCAGTTGTTGTTTTTATGTTTCTTTTGTTTGTCTGCTGATTTTTTCCTGTTGGTCCTGTGGATTTTTTTTTGAATTGTTTTTCGTTTTTTTGCTAAAATCAACTTCCTCTGTTCAAGCTGGTCTCTTCAGAGTAATAGCAAACTGAGTGTTCAAGACTCCAGTTGATGTTTTTTTCAGGGTTTATACAATTATACAATCCAACTACTGTATATATATTGAGGATTACCATCGTCCATTATGCAAATCCCTAGTCAACAGTCAGCAGATTGACATGACATTTCGGGTTCTGAACCCCTTGGATTCTCGGTTGGATTCTCGGGGATCCCCCTGCCTTTGGAGTTACACATGAAACATGACCATCAACTCTTGCTTCTCTTGAGATGTAACCGATGTAACCCCATTTTTTTTTTGGCAGTTTTGGGTTTGTCCAATTTACTTGGAATGCTTCCCCCCAAGAAAATCTATCCGGTGGGAGCGGTTAGGAGCGATTGTATCCATATTCCCATGGGGAGCCAGTTGGAGCTACAAAAAATAGAGTTTCCCAACCACATGATAGGTAAGTCAGCAATAAACAGATTTCCACCCGCACCTTTGGACATGGAAGACCCCCAGTTAGATCAATGGTTTATAAGTTACTTTCTAATCGCCAAGTGGTTTTTTCTGAAAATAGGGCACCGCCAAAGCTTGATGGTTGATTATCATTTTGCCTATTAAAATTGCCAGTATACCGGCTATACCCCATGTATCAGATTATAGTTGGTCAATATCCAATTACATCCTCATCCTTGCTGGCTATATCATTATTTTCAATCAGTTTCCAATACAAAACCATATTGCATCAGCATCAACTTTTGTTATTCAACTATCAAATGTAATTGATTACATTGAACAAACATCAGATCCCCATTAAATATCCCCCATCTCAGATGGTTGTAAAAATATCTCTACACATATCCCCATGAAATATCCCAATGGGTGCTGCAAGGTGGTGTACCGCCAGTTATGTTCGTTATCTTCACCCCATCAACTTGTCTACCATCAGCATCCATACCCTCTGGTAATGCAAAAAACTATGGAACATCACCATTTTTCATGGCTAAATCAACTTATTTTTATGGCCAAACTATGGAACATCACCATTTTTCATGGCTAAATCAACTATTTTATGGCCAAACTATGGAAAATCACCATTTTTCATGGCTAAATCCACTATTTCGACTGGGCCATTTTCAGAGGGTCACCGGGCGCCGCGTTTTTTTCGCGTTGCCACGTTGCGGAGACCCTTGGACCCGTGGAAGTCTTTGCCGCCAACGCCGGCGTGCCGTCCAACGGCGGCTATGAGGTCCCCAACGATGAGTGGGACAGGACCTGGAAAGTGAACGTCCGGGAACTCAGAACGAAATGCTGGCGGTGGGAAAAACATATGGTCTTCCAGGGTTTTCTTCTTAATATATATATATATATGTATATGTATATGTATATGTATATGTATATGTATAAGTATAATTAAGTATATATATATGTATATGTATATATATATATATATTCAGTTTATTTCAGTTTTGTTTCTTGGACATTGTGTTTTTTTGGTGGAAGCAGTGCATTTCAACGTTTTTTGATGGGTTGAAACTAGGCCTGTTCTGGTTTTGAAATAGTAGATGCGGAAGATCTGGAAAATGCAGCTCTCCTTCCTTCTGGGATCGACTTATTTCCAGGAAACGACATGAAACGACTACATGCAGCTTTGCCCTTGGAAGGCTATTCAAGGTACGACTCAAAAAGTTGAGCCTCCATGAATACACCGACGTTTTTCATTTTTTCTTAAACTGGCTTGATCGACCATGCACTTTTTTTGGCGCGCAGGTTTGATTGGTCAAAATTTTGTGTTTCGTTAAATGGCCATAGTTTACCTGAAACATGGCCAATCTGTTTATGGGCCTGTTCTTGAAAAACTTGATCCGCATAACTTGGTTTGTACACCAACCCAACTATGGAAATGTATCCACCATAGTACTTATTATCCCAATCAATAATAAGATACATACACCAACCCAACTATATGGTGGATGACCAATATACATTCACCAATAATTATTGTGTTGATGTATCCCATAGTACTTATTGGTCATCAACCATAGATACATCCACCATCCCACTTACATGGGCAGCAGATTCCCCCCGTGTCCTGGGCACCGCAGATCTGAGGTGATGCAGCACGTTTACGTTGCTCGGCATTTGTTTCCCCTTTGGCAGCAACGACCAGGTACGACGCTACGACAGAGGGCATGTTTGAATCTGCGGTAGCTGAAATTCCCAAATCACTTACGAACACATACCAAAACGATGTCATCACGGGTCATCTCCATTCTTGTAGTGATATACCTATGATTCTAACATCCTAACTATTCTCTTCAGTGCATGACGGTTTCTTTGACAACTTTCAACTTTCATGTCTCTAAACAATCTCAAACCTGTGAAATAAAAGATGGACGCGCATTGCCACAACTCTCAAATAAAAAGAGATGTAAGACTTTAAGACCCCGGATTATATAATCAACCCCAAACGGCTGTTTGGTTGGGGGATCGCACCATTTAAGTATCAGATGACATCGCAGAAAATTCGGAGTAGCCGGATCGCTTCTGTCAGGCGATAAGCACTTCATCATCACCGCTTCAGCGGCTGGCTTACTCACTCAGGTGCCAGGGCACAAACATCACTCACTATGGATTATGGATGACTTTGAATCAACCTTGTGATGGTGGGATGCACCAACAAATGGCCGAAGATTGTGTCAAAGTCTTTCATTCTGAACCATACCATATGCATGTATGTATGTACATATACATATATATATATATGTATATATATATATATACACATACATATACAGTATACACGGTGAAATCCCGTTTTTTTGCTCAACGCCCAACTTTCGTCTTTGATCTCCTCCCCCCGGGGCAAAAAGGGACGTTTCAGCGTTAGGTGGGAGGCCTTCCCTACAGCGTATCGAAGCACGCAGCAGTTTCCATTGCTGAATGGTGACCCTGGCTCAGGACCTAGGAACGACAGAACTTCCATGGTTTCATTTCGTGTATGTGATATAGCTTTATATGGATTTAGGTGAATATCATATATATATATATACATGTATATGTATATGTATATGCATATGTATATGTATATGTATATGTATACATAGAACATATACATTGGTCTGCTTGATGGGGTAGCCTGCTTCATGGTAGTCATTTTGCACCTCCGGAGGTACCAGATCACCTACCGGGAGTTTGGCATCCATGTCGCCTGCCTTTGTCCACAGGTGCGATCTCCGTTCCAACACGGTTTTACACTGTTCATTCTGTGGGCTGTGGCTGGGAATTGAACTAATTGAACCATGATTTTTGGAGGGGATTTCAACCATCAAGAAAACATGGGAATGTTGTGATATATATATATATATGTGATTCACAAATGGGATGTCTCAAAATTCGGGATCCCCAAATCTCACGGTTTATCTGTGTTTTCACTACTACTATTTCATGATATTGAATGGCTATTTTGAGGTGACTGCCAACATCTTGGGATTTTTCACACATCACTGGAATAGATGGTTGTGGACGATTCCACCAGAAACTTTAGACTGGTATGACAAACATGACTCAGGTAGTGGAAACTGGCATGGTCTGGGTTGGAAATGCTGGCGCAGGCAGGATGGCGGTGGATACTGTTGCTGGTGCATCAGGGGACGCAAGGTTTGTCAAGAGAATAAAGCTCTAAATGGGACATAGAAAGGGGATCATTGGATATTATATAATAAGTCCAGATCGCCTTGATTTCTATAGAGATGAACCTCTTCCAACCACCACCAGAAATTCTGTACAGTTGAAGCGATTCTGTTTCTAGACACAGTTCATGGTAATAAACAAATATAATGTATACAATAGACAATATGATCTGTCCATATAGACAATATGATATGTCGAAACAATGTAATATTCCATGATAGTATCAATATACCAGATGCAATAACCAAAATCTATACTGAATCCATACGATACTTTGATATGACATATGGAGGTTTCCGAAAATGGAAATAACCCCAAATCATCCTAGTCATTAGTAGTCATTAGACATCATTAGACCATCAGTTGGTAGTAAAACCTAACTGTGGATGGGCCAGCGAAATCCTGCATCAGTTGGTAGATGGTTGGTCCCATGATGGTCCCATTATTTACAGTGTTTCATACTTACACTCTGGTTATTCAACATAGCCATGGTATAGATGGCCCATAGAAATAGATGATTTTCCCAGCTAGAAACCTCCATTTATAAGGGATTTTCCATGGCTATGTTAGTCATAACCAAAGGGTACCAATAATTAGCAATAGTTACCCTGCCTGGTGCAGGATTTCGCAACCATCCACAGTATGATTTTTGGAGATCCCCAATTTTTCTTAACAATCCATCATCCTAGTAATCTGAAACCTTACCCTCTGGTAAATTAACTTGTTGACCCTGAAAACAATCAATTTCTATTGGAAACTAGTCTTTCAGCCCCCATCTGCCAGGGTCTATGTTAATTTACTGGAGAGTAATCCTAGCCTATAAGTCATTAGACATCATTAGACCATTTTGGTAATAAAACCCCAAGGGCTTTTCGGCCGCAGGTGGAGATGGAGTCTTGAAGCCTCAACAGGTGGCTGAGGTCTGGGAGCAAATCATGGAATGGATATCATGGCATATATATATATATATTATAGATATCTATATATCATTACTGTATCTGTATCTGTATCTGTATCTGTATACATACATGCATCCATGCATGCATGCATGCATGCATCCATCCATCCATACATACATACAGACACACACACACACATACACACACACACATATATATACACATGAGAGTGTATGTTTTCATATATGTACCAGTGGATGTGGTGGGGGGGTTATGGTTGTGGGTAACCCCCCTTTTTGCATTTTTGGGTTTTTGTGAACACGGTCGACCGGGTCCGCCAGGAAGTGGTGAAAGCCATGGGAGAGAAGAAGTTCTTAGTCCTTCCGCACCCGCAGGTGACTGGAAACTCTCCATTGGGTGGTGCCTCCTGCAGAAAAATGTGAATGATGGTGAAAAAAAAGTTGAGAAAACCTCCATTGAGAAAAAAGATATATCTAGAAAACAAACCTTAGTGAAATTGGAGTTATCAACCAACTTAGCTAACGAACTGGGGCACGACCTTGTGGAAGGTGGTTTTGATGATTATTTCAACATGTTTTTTGTCTTTCGGCTCCATGGCATCGACATCATTGTCTAACGTAGGATGATAAACAAACACAACTGGGCTGCTCATTTCTCCCCTCAAAAGACTTCAAATCTTGAATCTTGGATATATAGTGATATGATATCTATAATATATATATAATAGTATATATATATTACATATATATATATATCACAACGTGGCAAAGGTGTCACAGTGACAATGTGAGTTTCCAACCTTGGAGGTTGATAAGCTCCCGACTTTCGGGGGACTCAACCAGAAAAACCAACCAACAGATATTATCAGCACTGCGACCAACTGATTCTGATTCTGCAGATTTTTGGGTTTCAGGTGCTGAAGTACATGAAGCAAAAGGCTTCAGACTACGACCGCTGGCTGAAAGGAATGACCAGGTCTGCGACGGAGACGGGTCAGGTCATTTGGGTACCCCGAAAAGAGGACGCGGCCTCTCTTGGTTGCCCGTGTAGTATAAACCATTTCCATCCATTCATAGAAGATTTCTAAGATTCTCCATGTACCCTGCTACCGGAGAGTAAGATTCAATCTGACAACAGAAAAGTGGTAACATTAATATTGACTCTGCTATGACTGTATTACCAGATTATGACCACGAATGGAACACATATTTCAACGGAGAATTACAATATCATTGGAAAATTAAACATGATTATGACCACTCCATGGTAACACAATTAATGTACATTACTATATCATGTTTTTGTGCTATTAATGTACTACATTGTGTTGCCACAGATTGAACACGGCGAAGGCTCCACAAGAGCGTTGGCGAGTTGCAGAGCAGGACCTTGGATCGAGATGACGCTGGCATAATTGTATACACAGAATCATCTATTTATCCATTGTTCATTTAGCTATTTATCTATTGATTTCCTGATTTATATTCGTGGGGAAGATACAGCTGGTCTTTCTAAAGCACAGTGACTCACGACGCAGGAGCCCTCCGATCACAGCAGCCAAACTCTGATTTTGTTTTGAATTGATTGGCTCCAGGTACTGGATCCCATCCCAATCAGATGATCTCCCATTTCTGGACTCCCAGTTAAATCACACAATTGGGAGCAAAGGAGCGATATTTTTGGGATGGGATCCAGTACCGTACCGGCAAGTTTAAAGCTGAGGGCCATGGACCGTGCAAGTCCTGTAAAGCTTGGGCGAGATGGCGAGGAAGAACTGCTGCTTGGAGCTTGCTGATACCAATTCGTGCGGGCCAAAATGATGTCTCTTAACGGACCAATGGACCAATATCATGATGTTTGTTTCTACACACCTACTTTGTCGGGTCAGTCACTTTAGGCATTTTTTCAGATATTGCAAAATATCATTCTCACATTGACAAACTCACATTTTATACTCTTGCCTCAGCTCTAAGAGTCAGGAAATCTCTGTTCAAACACCTTCCGGATTTTTGGACTTACCTCCGCACTTTTCTGGCTCAGTGTAGTGGGGGCAGACGGGAAGCAGACACCATGTGTCGCAACGAAGATCTGGCCATGTCATGCAAAAATGCAACGGCAACAGTGCCTTGGAAATGTACGAAATGAAGGGAGACTTTTTCAGTTTCGGGGGACTTACATCCACTTCAGTTGCCAAGTCACATCATTTAGATCCGTTTGCGTTTCTTGCCAAGTGGGGTTGCCGTCAATCGTTTGGGGAGGGTTGATTATCGTTGTCCCCGCAGACGTCCTGGAACTACGCCACTACGCTAAGATCGAACGAAGCTCCGTTGTGAATGGAAGCAGATTGGAAACACCGAACTAATGGAATTGATTGTTGGTTATATGATATTATATGTACGTCATCGTTTTCCACGGAGATCAGCAGAACTTTGGGGGGAACGAAACGCCACGAAACGCCACTCGCCACTCGCCGCAGGCATTCAACAGCGAACGCATTGTGGTGCCATCCTCTGGAGAGCCACAGATCTTTCATGTCGTTCGTGGAAAGATTCCGAGTGACCTGAAAACGCAGCTGTTGCTGGGCTGCAGCTGATCAAAAAGCCTGGGATTTTTGGGTTTGTGAATGCAAAAAATCATTGAGGCGACTTCTTTTTGATGATATTTTAGGGAGATTTAGTGATCATTTTATAGATTTGTAGTAGCTTTGACGATCAAACATGGAGATAGAATACTGACATGATGGTTGGTTTATATAGATTTTTCCGGGGTAATTAGCGTACACTTTATGTATGAGTATTGAAGATTCTGATGATCCATGAACTGGAATTCCCCGTTAACCAACCACTATTGTGGTGATTTTCCAATGTGTTTCTGACATTTTCTGACACTGCTCAAATCAAAAGGTATAACCTAATAACCCTAGTTGATCAATAGTAAATACACCCCCCAACAAAACCCTGGTTTGATACTGCATTTGTTAATTTTGAGTGCACATGTTTGATTTTCTTCTTTTGGGGGAAGGGATGAATTGACGGCTACAAAAAACAACCCTAGCTGGTGGGTGAGTTGGTGGTTGGTCTGCGGTTTGAAGTAGAAGATGTACATTACTATGAGTGGGACATTTCCATTGAGGGACATAGACTCATCGAGGTGAAAGCAGAGATGGAAAAAAACATATACGGAGACGGAGAGATCTTTCTTCCTGACTTCCTGAAAGGGCAGTTTTTTCTGATTGAGTGCCGTGCTTTCTGGCACTTCATCTCTGAATAAAAAACACAATTTCCGCAACAGTTTCTCAGGAGTGCACCTTTGTCAGAGATGGACAAGAATAGCATCTTCAATGAGGCTGCTGTGATGAAGAACTCACCTGGACTTTCTGCGGGTTGGACGATTAGACTTGATATGGTTGTGTTGTTTCATTCATATTTTTTAGTGTCCTCAAGAACACGAAAACAGAATTGCTTTGCTGCCAGTGATTGGCATTCTTCGCGGAGCTTTTTTTGATATTTTCACCTTAGAGGGTCACCCGGTCATCCTTGCTCTTTTTAAAGAGCTTTAGAATGAATCCTGAAGCTTAACAAGTAAGTCCGCCAACTAGGGTAGTATGGGTAGTACCCTCTGGTAATTTAACATAGCTATTGAAATGGCCATAGAAATAGTGAGTTTTCCCATTAAAAATGGTGGATCTTTCCATAGTTATGTAAACGTTTACCAGAGGGTATTCCATAGTCCCCATTATCCCTGGGTTATCCCTGAGGTGGGCCTGCTGAGTGCGACCTCGCTTCCGAAGCAGGAGAAGCCCAAGGTGCGGCGCTCTTCAGAGCCGTGAGAAGCCGTCGCTTTTCCAAGCAAACATCTGCTGGAAAACATGCTTTTGAATACTATATATATATAATATATATATAATATATATATAATATAATATATATATATATTATATATATATTATAATATCATATATATAATAATATAATATGTATATATATATAATATAATTATATATATCATTAATACTATATTTTAGTTTTCCTTCATCCACATCTGGGACAATGATGTTCAAGCCTGGTTTGATGATGTTTGATGTTTCTTTTTTGCTTCGCCCAGTTATCCAAGTTCAAATCCGCAGGACCCCATACCGGAATGTAAGATGAGTCATTTGATTTTAAGGGAAGACGTTTGCCAATCTAGCCTATCTAAAAATACAGTGTGAATTTCAAAACCACTGGGCCAGTTGTTGTTGGTCCCTACGACCCGGTGAAAACCAGTATCTTGGCTCAACAACACTGTAGATCAATTTTAGATGAAACTTATGGGACCAGTCACTGTTCAAAACCACTGTTGGCTGATGATTATTATATAAGGATTTTGTGGCATGAATTATTCTACCGAATATTGAGTACATATGATCACTATGTCACTATGGAAATCCTGATTTTAGAAGCAGGCAGTAGAAAGGAACAACGTTGCGGGTTTTGAACACTGCTCATTTTGGATATTCAAATCATCCAACTCAGACTCCTTGTTTCAGTATTTTCTTTTTGCATCCCTACTGGTATCTTGGGATAAGTGGTAATTTTCCCCAACAAAGTGGCCATGAATCAATTGGGTAAATGATCCATTTTCTCCATCCAAAACCACGAATCATTCTATAATTATTTTCTTACATATCAATATCGCCATGAAATAGCAGGAACTATGATACCATATCCCGTTTTTTTTCGTGATATCCCCATCAAGTGCTTGGTTCAGGTGCTGTGGTTGTTTGGCCCGCCAGCCGCGGGGAAGAGCACCTTGGCCTCTGAGCGCACCAGCGAACTCTTTGGATCCAATGACTTCGTGTGCGTCGACGGAGACGAGCCACGCGGTGTTTCAACGGTTCACCTTGGAACTGGGGGGAATTTGGTTGGGGCTACCCTCTGGTACCATTGGAAAACCATAGGAAAACCATAGGAAAATGGTGATTTAATGGTGATTAATCCATAATTACCCTCTGGTGAACATACAAAAAGCTATTGAAAATGGCCATAGAAATATTGGATTTTCCCATTAATAGCATGGTGATTTTCCATTGCTATGTTAGTTCACCAGAGGCTACCAGCAATTTTTTTGGAAGTGCTGTACCATCCAGTTTGATATTTTTTTGGATGTGGTTTTATATTTATGTCGAAAAACACGATGACTCAACGAGGTTCCAAAGTCAGGGACCCCCAAAAAAAACCATCCAAGTTCTTGGTCATTTTTCATGGGGAAATCAATGGTGCCATATAAAACCGCAGGCTTCATGGCCATATGAAATAGCCACAAAACGCCCTGATTTCCAAATATGCGATGCCGTTTACGGCTCGCACATGCATTTTTTTTTTAAAGGGGAGATCTTACCAAAGAAAACGGAGATTCGTTGTTGGAAGATTTCTGGTGGTTGGGCTTTGTTGGCGAAGATGATCCCGGGCATTCTCATAAGTCTCATAAAATCACCACCAGTTACGGTCTAGGTCGTTTTTTTTGTCTCAGTAGATATGTGTAACCATGGAGATCAATGGTGGGTGTGGCGGCAAACCTGTCATCATCCACGGACCGGGAATACCTGGTAGAGTCCCTTTCGAGTCCTAAATGGAATGACATTGGGGGTGTTTTACCATCCCATCAATCTCCCATTTTTTGCTAGTTGTATCATGTTTAAATACCCCTTTGTAGTTAGGGAAGTCCATTGAAATTCCCCGTGAATCCGTGACCTGAGGATCCGTGACCGGCATCCGGCGTTTCGTGCAGTGACTCAACACGGCTTGGAGAGCCGTGTCCTGCACAAAGACGCGTGGGAAATCCTCAAGGAGACCGGCTGTGTGGAAGGCGACCGGTCGCCGGGATTTTTTTAGGTGACAAATTGTGTCCCAGTTTGTTGAAGTTTTTAGCAGCACCAACAAAAATGGTGCAACAAACCGGAGAATTCATAGATGTTTGTAGATTTTGTAGGTGATTCATGTCAGTGAAGTTAAACTAAGTGAGCTGCAGAGGCACCACCTTGAAGGTGAGGGATGTTGATGTTTAAGCTGATCAAAATGGGGACATTGATCAAGAGAAAGGAGGCCCGAAAGTGCAATCGGATGGACCAGCAGTTGATTTTCTAGAACTGTTTTTTTTGTTGCCCTTTTCCCCAATCTTGTTGTTATTGAGATGATTGCTTAGGCTTAAACTTCCAATTTCTTGAGGAGTTCGCCAGCAAAAATCAACAAAAACTCATCTCCGGCTAGGGTTCAAATCCCAAAATGTGTCACCAAACGGGGTGGCTGACAACTGAGCGTGACAAAAAAGCACTTCTCCCCAAGTCTTCAAGTTTTGAGTCTTCAATTTGGGTGTGTCGGAAAATGGATGAAAATGGGATATGTCCCCAAAATTGCAATTTTAAGAGGGATCATATGGGAACATATAGGAGAACGATGATGAATGGATTCAGAGGCACCCTTTATCTTTGATCCATTGGTCCATCGTTTGTGCCGTACCGAAAATCCGTAGGTCTGAAGAAGCAGATCCTGCAAAAGGCCATCGAAAATCGTCAGAACATCACCATGCCGGACTGCGCTTTGAAACCCAAACGCGTCATGGAAATGCTGAAGGCCCTGCAAAATGCCGACCCTCGGTGGATGGATTGATGGATGGTTGGGATGGTTGGGATGGTTGGGATGGTTGGGATGGTTGGGATGGTTGGGATGGTTGGGATGGTTGGGATGGTTGGGATGGTTGGGATGGTTGGGATGGTTGACGTGTTCGTTTTCGTGGATGATGTGGATGCTGTCAGCATCGATTTTGATGGAACCTAAATGGAACCCACCAGCTACAAGCTGTTTTTTTTTGGTATGAAGAGCCTTCTACCCTCTGGTAATTTAACATAGCTATGGAAAATCACCATTTTTGATGGGTTAAACCCACTATAAATTGTCATACCACTGATGCTTCTGATGCTTTATCTTTGTAAATACCACCGGGTGTGCGGATCTGCGGCAACATCACCTTTATGGATTCATCTAAAAATCGCAGCCGCCTGATTTTGAACCACGATCCATGACTTAGCCATTGCTGTTATAGTGAACATACGTAAGTGAACCATTTGTTGATATTATAGTGAAAGATGTTGGAATGACTATGTTGAACCACTATCCATTTGTTCAGCATTTTTCACCACCCATTTGATCCAGTGGCGCCATTCAAACTCACGCGGACGACCATCGGCGGGATGAGGATTACGAGATGCATGCCATTTGCCTGTGGGCTCCGGCTTCAGAAGCTGAGAGGCCGGGCCATTTTGAAGTTTGGGGGTGGCAAAAAGGCTGGGAATGTCACTGGCCCATGCGGATCTGAGCAGAACATTTCAGGGATTGAAGCAACAAGAGTTGGGACTTGAAACTGACGAGTCGTCGCCGCAGGAGGGGCCGGGTGCGCTCCATCCAAACTGGCAAGGCATACAGTCCCAAGTTCCATCGTCCCAGCCGCAGCTTGACAATCCGACACAGATAACAGGGGTTGGTAAATGTCCCATTTTGGGAATATTGGACATCACCTGAAAATGTAGCCATGAAAAAGACCATATATATACCTAATGGTTGGGTGATGTGAAAAATGGGGACATTTAGTGACCCATGGATAACCTTTCAAATAACCTTTGGGATTCACAATATACAAATTCATATGAATACACATGAATACATATGTATATAAGTTAGTATAAGTTATATAAGACAATATATCAAGATTCGGGCGCAACCATCGTAACACAGGGCGGATTTTTTTGGGTCCCTTTCGGCTTTCGATCTTTCCTTTGACCCAGGTGAAGGGACCATTGAAGTTGCTCACTACTGGGAAGAAATGAGGTGCGCGGCAGGATTCAACAGCCCTGTGTCAGTTGATACCCCAAATATTGGGTCTACAAAGGGCTTCTCAAACACAAGCAATCACTAATGAGAGCAACCCATCCATGATCTTATTGACCACCAACCATCTATGGTTACCAATAAAAGCATATTAACAACCAAGATTGGTTGAACTCCCATGTTTAAATTCCATCTGATGTCTTGGATTCTCTTTTGTTGCATCCCTATGATGTTGCATGCCTGGTCTTACGTTATCTTTTGATTTTATTCCATCTTGTCCGGTGATTTCTTTTTCTGTGCTTCTTCTCTTTTCATGTTCTTTTTACCAGTTTTTACCAGTTTTCCTTAAGAGAATTTACAGAAAAGATTTCTGTACACAGCCCCGGGCTCAGTTTTTGTGGCTGCGGGTGCATCCTGTCGGAGATCCAACGTTGACTGGTTAGTTGATCAATGGCGTTTTTGACATTTACACTGAAAACATTCCTAAAATGTTTCATGATTTTTGAAACCAACAAAAAATTGGGAAATTGGTACTTGGTACATATCTCTGAAAAAATTCTTCCAAAAGGATGGCATTGTCTCCATCCGTCTTCATGACACCTCTGGTAGGCAATTGAACCACCACTTCCAAAGCATCGAATACTATGACACCACTGCGCAAGCAGGGCGGAAGGTGGTAGACTTGGCTTCTTTCGAGTGCCTTGGCATCCTTGGCCCGCCTTGATGGTGACCCAGCATGGTCCACAGATGTGGAAAATCTCCATATTCAATGGGAAAATCCACTATTTCGACTGGGCCATTTTCAATAGCGAACTGTTGACATAACCAGAGAGTAGTGTTTTCCCCCATTGCCCTTTTCGTTGGGTCCTTGTTGGGTCCCCAAAACAAAATCGGCCGAAAAAACGGCCGTCCTCCAAGGCGCTTGGGGGCCGAGACCGAGCTCCGAAGGGCCGAGACCTTTGGTGATCCCCGGGAATCCATCAAGAAGCCGCATCTTGGTGGTGCTTTTAGGTCCCCCAGGTCCCTGTTTTTTTCCAAGCAAAATAACATGGTAGAACGATGGAATAAGCAACAAAAATGGGAGATTTATAATATTTTATAATGTTTTATAAATCTATTTCTAACATAACCAGGGCCTATGGTGACTATAGCTGTAGTCAACGGGGTTTATAAACCAACTTCTAGGGGCACCAACTTGTAGGAAAGGTTTTTAAGCAAACATACGGTATACCGGTATACGGTGTGCCCAAAATTGCAATTGAACATTGGGAAACATAATTGGGAAACATTAGGTATAAAAAAGACGGTTGGATATTGGGTTAATTCACCTATTTTCAGACAAAGCCATGAGCCTACATGCTATTCGCAGACACTCGAGCCCAGTAATTTGAATAGCTAGATGACCCATCATTCCACTAAACTCCGTGTTCATGGGTGATGTTTCATCTGGACATAGGTCACCGCCCTGAATTCTTCAAGAATTGACGCTTTTTGACCATCTTTGACCATTTTGACCGCCACAAAAACCCGAGTTTGTTGGTGACATTCCCTGGTCCCTCCTAGATGCCCTGAAAGTCAAATGACACATTTTACCCACCATAGATTCGTGATAATCCAGAATAATCTACAATAGACACAGGGCTAATCCATGAGTCTTTCTCATATTTTCTGGGATAGCCACACATGCTACTTGGAAGTGCAGTTCCAGCTATAAGTGGAATATATTAACCATAGTTATGGGGCCCCCATAGTTATACCCATAAGAGTATCCACAGCTGCACACATAATGGTCGTCCCTTTCTACTGGTTGGTTGAGAACGGGATTCCCTAGTGGATTGTGATCTTCCCCAAGTGATATTGGTTACTGGTTGGTGGTTTGGAACATGGCTTTTATTTTCCATAATATATGGGATAATCCTTCCCATTGATTTTCATATTTTTCAAGATGGTTAAAACCACCAACCAGGTGTTAGTATATTCCCCTAAAATCTAATCATCAACCAACAGTTGTACACTATCCCCTGACACAAAAACGATCAAAAACGTGTGATGAGGTGCGTGCTTGAAGAAAGATTGCTGCCTGCAGAGGTCAGGGAAAGCTTCGTGGGATTTCACCCTGACCAACGGGAACGACAATATTCCTAGCTGCTGGGAATCTCCCTGTAAAATGTGGTTTTATTTCGCATGGGAAGACAATGAAATGCAATGGGAAATCAAATGGGGGCTTTTGCAGCCGTGTTGGATTACCGAAATCATCCCATCTCACTATCAAATACATTCATTTGTTGGATTCCCCAAAATATGGGCCCCCAAAATGAATAGGGCGAGTTTTTTCAGCCAGAGGTTTTGGGATTTCTACAGTATTTTTTTTGGAGGGAATGATGATATTCTGCAGTATCACCAACAGAAATAGAGGATTTACCTTCAGGCGAGGCCGCAGATCGTCGTGGTTATGTAGAATGTGGTAGACCGTTAATACCTTGGTGCTTTCCCATGGGCTACGAACATGGGACCCTACCCAAACGTAGACAATGCGACTGGGCAAGATCTAGAACTCACAGGTCAGGGATCCGCAGCCCGATTTGCGACCATGACAGTAAGGGCTTAAATGATGGACAATGATCTACCAATTAATTGGCACCAAAAATTGATTCGTCTCAAAATGACATCGCTACTCGTGGTATACCATCCAGATGTGCCAGGATGAGAGTTGATATAGACCATGATAGAACTCCCCAGATTCAATGTTTCGTCCTTTCAAAGGCCCCAGCGCCCAAATCGATCAAGCCACAAGGGATCGGTTGTTTCAACTCTTATTTGTTACATATTTGATCATATTTCTACATAGTAACATATAGTAACATATAGTAACTACATATTTGTATATCAACAAATGGGATGATACCACTTGACTTTCACATTTTTAAGACACGATTTTGGGTGTCCCTCATCCACCATTCACTGGCATCACCAGGCAGAAGACAGGCGGATTCGCAAGAACTGGTGGAGCTGGTTCTCTGCACCGGTGGTCGCAGGACAGCCTCGGAAAAAACCCGGGGGTCCTTGAGCATCGAGGGGTTTTGAACAGTGCTCATGTGGGTATGTCTCAAAATCATCACGACGGTTAAACTGTTAAACACTTTCCACAGCACTGGTATGAAGATGTTTCTCCTAAGCGTCCCAATCTAATGGTTTATCAATTCAGGACGGCTCAACACGAAAAAGAGTGCTCCATGGCGGCCATGGTTCCTGTGGGTTACCGTCTTCACTTTGCGAGGCATCAGCCACTGCTGTAGCTGCCTCTTTCACTTGCATCCATGCCTGTCAAGGCCAGGGCGGCTCCAGGGCGCTGCATGCTTTGACACTCACGCATTGTTGAAGAGCTGTTGTCATTCATAGAGTAGATAAGTATGAACATGCGTATGATGTATGCATATTAAACAATATAGAATATAATATATATATAATATAATATATATATAATAATATAATATATATATATTATGTATATGTGTGTGTATATATATATACACATACATAGACATTCATAGGTGCAAAACTCCAGCTTACGGCTGGAGCATGCGAGCATTAGTGTTGATAGCACCCCTCCGGTGGCTTTCCCAGCCCCCCAATCCAAGGGTTGTTTGAACAGATTTTCCACTGACCAAGGATCCTTTTTTGGGGGTCATGGATTCCCGAAAATCTCGGCGGCGAGGAGTCACTGCTGGCACGTTTTGCCTGCTTCAGATTTTGAGAGTTGGATAACAGCCGCTGGATGGGAATGGCAAAATCAGCGCAGGGTGTACCTTTTTGAAGCCATCCAACATTAGGAGATAGGCTTGAAAATAGGCTACCCCAATGATCATTTTTCACAAATAAAGCATGGCCATGAGATTCTGGACAAATTCTAGCAAACTCATTGCGACATCACCGGAATGATGGTTAGTACAAGGAATCATCCCAGAATCGTCTGATTTCAGCTTTAGCCAGGTAAATTGGGTTATGCCCCCTTTTTAAACACTCTCATCTTTGTCAAAAAGTTTCAAATGCTGCATTGCTCATCCAGGAGTCCCGAGTTTCATATCAAAGTTGCACGGCCCAGGGCGGTGTTTCAGCGAAACAAACTCACGGCCCATGAGGAGTTTGGTGGCAAGGTCCCAGAGGTGTTCTCAAAGAAACGTACAGCAGTTGTACCTCGGTCCTTGAAACGTACAAAAGTTGTTGCTACCTAGTGCTACCTATTGCTACCTCCTTCAGCGTAGCTGGGTTTCCTTCCACGATTTCGTTGCAGCGGTCATGACTCGGTCAGAATGCTTATGACATTCGGAGGTGAGCTGACAGCGGTGCCTGGCGTGGTGCTTTTTGGATCTGCCATACCACAAAGGTCGATGTCATTTACCAAGTTGCAAGCCATGTCATAGACACATTTGATGTTGCGATCTTGGAATTCTGGGAAAAAATAATACCCAATCTATTCGCAACATAGTGATGTTTGGTGAGCTTCCCACATTGCATCGACCACTATTTGAACCATCTGGGGGCCGAGTGGCTTTGCATCGTAAGAGTGAGGACCCTTGAGGTGCACAGCCTTGGTTTTTCCCTCCAGGAGTTGTCAGTGTTTAATTTTCGGCTTGGGAGAATCCGCCAAAGCGCATCTGAGTATTGGATAGTGCAAACAATTAGCTAAGTATTGACATTTCGGAGAGAAATGCATGCGTGTGTGTGTATATATAATATACAAATTCATTCATGCATGTTTATCTCTATCGGTACGATGAGATGATACGATGCGATATTGGATAATATGATACGATCGTGATGTACTATAACATCATACCTGTTGTGTATATGAGACTGTTTGCATGTATTGCAAGAAAGCGCAGCAGCATGTAACGCCATGTATCTATGGGTTGACTTGGAATGTCTTTATACAATCGAGTTTCAATGCAATCTAAGCGTATACACAACAACATACAAACACAAACACACACACACACTTTATACGTATATGTATACATTATATGCATGCCACCTGCGTACATGTCAGTATGTGTGTATGTGTGCGTATGTGCGTACGTGCATAATATATATACTGTATCTTGAATATATATAATATATATAATATATATGTATATATGTATATATAATACATAATATATAAAATATATATTATATATATATAATCTTATATATATAATACATAGAAACTCTTGATAATATATATATATATACTAACTTATATATATTACATATATATTATGAACAATATTTACTATATATATAATATATAGTATATATATAATATATATGAATAATATATATATATATATTATCACATGTATATATATACTATATATATAATATAAATAAAATATAATATATATAGTATATATAAATAACAAATTATAATCTATATAATATATATAAAATATATATATATGATATATAATATATATAATTATATATATATATATTATACTGTATATTAAATATATAACATATTCTATATATTATAAATAATATAATATATATATACAATATATATATATATATGGATATATCATATTAAATATTTTATATATTTTATTTTTTTTCTATATCCTATATTTTATATATCTTATATATATATCATATATATTTTATATTATATAGATATATATCAAAAATATTATATTTATTATATATATATTTTTATATAAAATATATATAATATATAATATATATAATATATATAATATATATAATATATATAATATATAATATATATAATATATATAATATATATAATATATAATATATATAATATATATAACATATATAATATATATAATATATATAGATAATATATATATATAATATATATATAATATATATTGAATATATTATATATAATATATATTGAATATATTATATATATATTATACTATATGTTATATATAATATATATTATATCTATTATATATATTATATATATTATATATCATATATTATATATATTATATATATTATATACATTATATATATTATATATTTTATATATATTATATATATTATATATTTTATCAATAATATATATATATTCAAAAAATATTGATTTTTTATTATATATATTTTTTATTAGACATATATATATTATATTATATATATATTATGTGTATTGTATATTATATATATTATATATTATATATATATTATATGTTATATATATTGTATATATTATATATATTATATATTATATATATTATATATATTATATATATTATATATATTATATATATTAT